GGAAAACTCTTCACTCAAACATGATTGGCCCCTCTCTGCACTGTGTCTTCTCTGGCTACCTGCATGTCTACATCCTGAAAGTCATTGCTTACGACAGCGTAACGAGGCTAAAGGGAGGGAGACACAGATGGACCATCACACAGTTTCAAGTAAGGTGGAGGGAGCTCAGTTCCAATTAATGAAAATTTAAATTATAGAACATTTAAAAATAAATTTGGTCCCAATAATTTTAAATAATATGAAAATATTGCTTGTTAGGCCTCTTTTAATACATGGGTAGGGAACAGTTATAGGTCTTATGTTTATGTATGCGAAGTGTTTGTTTTATTGCTGTAAAGGGATAGAAGGAAGCTTGGTTACCAGACATCTAACCTAGTCAAGCAATAAATTTTACACTATCAATTTGCTTAACGTCCTCTTTCCCGACATAAACTGTGCAAAATAAATTATAGTTCATCCTGTGCAGGAATAAATGCCAACTCTAAATGAGTGTGGACTGATAGAAGTTTCCTATATAACATCTCTATTCTCCCGGCTTGGACTTCTGTTAAAATACATGTGATAGTTATTTATTTTGACTTGGAGTACATCTATTTAGCAAAGGGAAAATTATAAGAAAGATGAAGATAAAGAAGACCTCACTAACCTGGACTATTCTACACAAGTTTTTACTAAGTCCCCTGCTCCTCCACACACACACCCATTCCTCCACTACATGCAAATCTTAATGAGTCAAACTAATGGAAAGGCAACTAAAATAATACTCATACGCTCCACATGTGTTGGTGTGCACTGGCAATAAATCAGATTTCTAAAAAGCACAGCATATGGTCCTATCACTTGCGGCCTCATTGGCAGCGGTGTGAATGCAGGCTGTTCCAGCATCCACACCACTAACAGTTTTCTCAACAAGGAACTAGGTTTTGAACATGTGTACAAGCATGGACATCTGCTTATATGTGCATATACATGTAAGCGAGCACACACCATATTCACATACTTCATATCACACCAAATGATATGCTAGCAATCTGGGTAACATTGATTTACAAGGAACAATTACGAAAGCTCAAAGGACTCAAAGTCTTGGGTAATACAGTGTCACATTAAAAATGTATTGCAATGTGCTTACGCAGCCAGACCACGGGAAACCCAGCCAGGTGCTGGGGTCTGCGGCTGCTCTGGATTTTTTTCTAAATGCACCCTTATGATGTTTGCTTTTTTTCCTAATCTGGATAAATTTAACCTTACTTTCTTAGTTGACAAAATAAAATCAAGCATTTGCTAAGCAACTTTTAAAGACATATAAAACTTATTTTTCTGCATATTGGATATAAACATATGTCATATACCTTAGGCAGCAGACGTTTATTGCCTCGTAGTTCTGGAGGCTGGATATCCAGGATCAGAGTGTCAGCAGGGTGGCCCCTTCTGAGGGTGAGAGGGAGACGCTGGCGCAGGCTCTCCTCTAGTTCTGGGGGGGTGCGGCGATCTTTGGCTTGTCTTGTGGACATGTTAGCCTGCTCTCTGCTTTCATGTCCAGATGGCGTCTCCGTGCTCATGTCTGTGTCCGAATTCCCGCTTCTTACAGAATGGCAGTCCTATTGGACCAGCAGTGCTCCAAGGCCGTGATGAAGGCTTCTCGAGTCCTGGTAAGTCAGGAGGGCCCGACCGCCAGGGCCACGCCTTCCTCAGGCATCAGGCCAGAGGCCACTGATTTCTACCAAGACTACAATTTTCCCAGATGAGAATTAGGGTGATGTCATAGGTGACTTGTTTTGAAAATTTACGCCAATACTTCTTCTAGATTGAAAGTGTGTCAACCAATAACGTCTTTTTATAAAATGATTAGAATGGAATGCTTACCTCGGAAAGCTTGCTCACTACACACCTTATAAATGTTATTTAACTTTGATCCTATTTTAAGAGAAATGCAATAGTTGATCATCAGATTTCTAATGTAAAAATATAAAATTTTATGAATGAGAATACAAATGTGAGTCGTATATGCTCTAGATTTAATAAATGTTTATAAAATTAGTTTTGAAATCTTGTTTAGTGCACATTAGAAAGCAGAAAATGACTGGCTCATTGGAAGGAGTGAATTAAAAAAATACATAGTTTCTTGGTGAGCAGTAGACAGCAGCTTGGGAGAAACTGTATAAGAAAATCAAGAAAAAATTTAGATGAAATTAAAAGATTATCGATGTGATTAGAATATATTTAGTCTGAGAAGAACTTTCACCCACTGATTAGAATATTCTCTTTATCTAAAAGGCAGGGAGGTTCTGTCTATCTACCTAACGGAATATGAAAAGCGGAGAAGCTCTGAATGAATTCAAAAACAGCAGAGTTTGAAGAAGGAGGTGAAAGATCGTTAGAAATAAATAATGTTCAGTAAATTACCATATTACCTACAGTATTCTTTTCCTTGTGCTGGCATTTTATTCTTTGCATCTGTCAATGATAACATTATTACAATTAATTAAAATTACATATGTAAGTTTTGATTAATTAGTTATAATCTCAGTCCTATTTAAGGATACTCATTTTTTTGTTTAAATATCTGCTTTTATTGGATCATGTGGCTCTTGGGAGGAAGTCATTGGCCCAGCTCATGATGGTAACTGGCTGAGTTTCGTAAGGCATAACTTGCAAATGGACATAGAGTTCCTCAACATTTATGAGCAGAGTGAGGTGGTCATATGACATCAGTAAGTGTGAAATGAATTGGTTTTATGGGCTGAATTAGATCTGGAACCTCTGATGCCTGGGGTCTGCAAATGTGACCTTATTTGGAAATAGTCTTTGTTGATGTGACCAGATTAAGACGAAGTCATTAGTGCAGGTCTTGATTCAATCTGACCGATGCCCTTATGAGAGGAAGAATGTGCCCTGCATGGAAAGAGAAACACAGAGAAGTCATCTGACAGCAGAGGTGGAGAGCTGGAGAGACGCAGCAGCATGTGCAGGTGGGCCAAGGGGTGACCGGCCTCAGGGAAGCTCAGAGGGGCCAGGACGGGTCTCGGAGGAAGCCTGTCCCAGCATACACCTTGGCTTTGGCCTTCTGGCCTCCAGAGCTGTGCGAGAATGAAGCTCTGCTCTTTTAAGCCTCCCTGTTGGTGGTGCTTTGGTACAGCTCCCCCAGAAGACTGATACGCTGGCCTCTGGTATTTAGCATTTTGCATTAGTAGCAAATGCTTGTTATTGTAAATTGTAAACTCTGTGAAAGCAAGTATATGCTTTCTGTGTCCGGTGCTATTTTGAAAATATGTATTTGTCCACATGCACGTATTTTAATCCTTTGTGTAAAAAACTCACTTCATTAGTAGTTAAGGGCATAATAATATGAAGATCATGCCTGCTTATGCATTACTCAGTTCCATAAATGGATCAGGACCACGTAGTCCAAGACAGGAAAGTGTTTGGGAGTGGCTTGTGCGTCCCTTCAAGGAGATGCTGAATCCTAAGAAGACTGAGCGGGTAAGCCATGTCTCACCCTCCAAACTCTCTCTGGACTCCCATTCCAGTGGTTGCCATCTCTTCCTCCAGACCCAGACACCCACTGCTTTCCTGCTCTTGGACTCACAAAGCTGCTTGTGGTGCTGGCGCATGCCGGCCATCGCAGGAAACACCCTTTCAGGGCTTCCCAGCAAAGGCCTAAACATCTGAAAAGTGCCTGTTTCCTTGGTGACACTCATTTCAGCTGGGTGGAAGCAGCTCGATTAAATCAGTTCATTTGAAGAATTAATGGCAACCTGTTTGATTTTCCCAAGGACATTTGCATTTCGAAAGAGGAAAATTTTTAACATAAATTAGTCTTTTATTAATAGAAATTGAGAGAGCAAAGCAGAATTGCATGGTGGGGAAGAGATTTTGCAGAGGATGGTCTCCCACGTAGTCATTGCATCTTACGATCAGATAACAACCTTTAACATTTTAGTCAGGCAACCATGTTTTCCCCTTCTGATCACATGCTGGGCACACAGGGGAGAGTGTAGGTAAGATACCGGACAGTTTAAGATGAGCATTTAATGTTTGTGGAAATTTTAGGGTAAAAGTCTTTTTAGGCTTTACACAAAGGTAGATGCAGGTTTAAGTTTTGTGATCATTTCATGGGATGATATTGATGAAGGTCACAAAAAACGCTATGTGAAGCTAAAACAAAACTCATATAAATTGCCCAACACAATGCCAGACGTTCACTTATTCAAAAATGTTTGTGGGGGCTTATGTTAACCGAAATGGGGGGACTTCTGTGTGGAAGGAAGAAGGGTGCTCAGCGCCTTCCCGGGCACTGTGGCTGGGCGCAGCCCATCAGTGTGTTCTGATCAAGGGCTCCCCAGCCCCCTTGTCTGGGGACATCTTAAATACTTTGTTACAACAGGGGGTGGGTGCAGGGAAGAGGTGATGTCATCAGTCAAGGGGGTGGCCTTCAAAGAACACACTATGCATATTCTCAAGCTCTGTATGCTGAGTGGAAGCAAAGATTAGGGCTGCTGACTATCCTCCTAAAGGAGTCGGCCAGGGGCTCAACAACAGGCAGGCTTACCTCCTTCTGAGCTTTCCGGGTTGGTCTTTTCTGGTCACGGATGAGGGGTGAGGCGCAGTGAGTCAAGAACGGCTATGGGGCATCGACCTGGCAGACCTGGGCCTCTACACCTGGCATAGCCCTTTGCCTGTGGGACCACGGTGGGGAACACAAAATTTCATTTTATTTCACACTTATGTCTCAAACACACAGTACATAATCAATAAATTATTTTATTTCTTTTGCTGGAAAGCACATACATAAAATATTCTGTAGTGTGGCACTGTGGGGACTGAAACATGCATCATCGGTTATGTCCAGCAAAGTAGAATGCACTTGTCAATTAGACTGTCTCTATTTCTCTTTTCCACAGCACTTCCAGCTTTGCATGTAACTTCCCTTGTACCTGGAATCTGCACTATCACCTCACCCCGAAGGACATCCGAGTCACAGTAAGTGCACAAAGCGGGAGGTAGCTCTTGAGTGGCCGTGCCTGGGTGCAGGCAGCAATGCGAACGGCTTAGTTAGGGTTTAACACAATTTAATGCGGAACATTTTCACTTTCAATATACCATGAAGGCAAAGTGTTTTTATTTATTTTTTATTAAGGATATATCTTAGGTACTTCTATATAAAATTAGAAAAATCTATTTTTTAAATTCATGGAACAATGAAGTTGAAATTTTAAAACAAAGTTTTTTCTGAATAACAGGTTTAGGAAGCTGTTCCCTTTGATTCCAGGTGAGAATAGTCCAGGAGCTGGCATTGTCTTACTTCCAAAATAAGGTGTGGTATAGAAAGGTAAAGAGTGTTTAAGGTCATGATTTAGATTTACCCTTAAGCTTCTATCAATGATTAAGCTCTGAAAGCCTTCTAGGCAACAATTCTTTTTGTTCTCAAAGGTTAATTGCAGAGTTTTTCTGTGTAGTCCCATCCTTTGAGCAAATATTCCATCAGCAAATTAGTTGGCTAGCTCAATGTATCTGATTATTTGTGTCTGTCTGCTGGCTGTAAAAACCTTCAGAAGTCCCACTTTGAGGTCTGGGCACCTAGGATGCATCTAGTCTCTAATATTGTGTAGCTTTGAATATGGTTTGTAACACACAAAAACAGTACATGGTTCAGCCCATGAATACCACATCACGTCATGTCTTTATGTCTGTAGACTGGCCATCTGCTTGCCTTCCTATCATTTGTCTATTAGATTGAAAATAAGATAATCAGTAACGCTGACAAATCAGATTCCTCTGTACAGTTTCCTCCAGACTTCCTGATCTAGGCTAAACCTGGTTGGCTATGAACTGAGTTGACCTGAAACTAGTCATTTTGCCTGTTTGACCTTCGGCTCTTCTGCCCAGTGAGGGGTGAGACTGAGATGTGTTTCTGATTTCCAAACATTCTGCTGTTTGAATTTCCATGCTGGGCCAGGCTGCTGTGCTCACAGGGCAGCACAGAGGTGCTTTCCGATCCGGGGTGGGGGGGGGCATCGATCACACGGGCCCTGGTTCCAGAGCGGTGGAAGGAGTAAAAGGGACTAGAAATCTCTCGGGCATGGTGGTGGTGAGGATGGTGGGCTAAAGTTTGCTCTGAAATCGGCCTTTGGTGACCTATATGACTGTAAAGTGTTTGGGGTTACTTACGATCTATTCATGAGTAGGACTTCAGGACCCAGGGTAAAGACATGAGAGCTTCCCTATAAAGGCCTCTAGGCTCATCCTGGTTTTGAACTACGTATTTCAGGCGGCTAGCTAAACACAAGCTGTGTGCCCTGATTTAATTTTAATTGTCTCCGTTTATCAAGTTAGTGAAGCCAAGGACTGGGATTTTTTTTTTACTGCGTCTTACATAAAAATGTTTATTCAACTCAAACACGTAACTGTGTACATATGTGTTAATTTATTTGGTTGACAATTTTTTTATGAACACTTCCTATGTATCAAAAACTGTTAAGTTGGTTGGGGGGAGATGCTCATGTTATTACCAAAGGTGAGTGTAATGCTCTCCCAGAATCTGTTTTACACTTGGAATAGAGAGAAAGGTATCATTCCTGGAAATGCAGCTTTGAGGCCCAAAATATCTTGCGCTTGTGACAGTGTGATGGCTCTTTGTGGTCCTGTCCTGTGTTTGTATTCCTGATAAGTAGGGGCTTGCTTCCAGCTCACCTTGGGGTTTTCTGAGCAAGGGTGAGCCTGAGCCTGGTGTCCTCTTTTAAGCTAAGGCTGCCAAGTTATCAAAGCCAGACTGCAGTGGTCAGTGGAGATGCATGGAGTGCGGGCGGCAGAGTATTTGCTGAAAATGCAGCCAAGCTGTTGTCATCTTCTGTTTCTGCACATTTCTGACGACATTATCAGACCCACGGCTCCCCTGAGTCCTCCCTGGTCGCCCCAGGGAGCTGGCGGTTCTCTGCTGCTGCTTTCTGTGGTTTCATTCTGGTATTTTCTCTGGTTTTCATCCGTTCAATCTAAACAAAGATCAGTTCCAAAAGCATTCTTCCGTGGCCCGTGTTGTCTATAATATAAGCTCAGTGAACCCACTGACACATGTCCGTGCCCTGGACAGCCATTCAGAGCACTTTGTACTTTTGGATACAGCACATTTTAATAAAAACTTCTCTTTCACCAACTATATGTTGCTCGCTTAGCCACTGCTGTGTGAGAACCAAGGAGGGAAATTGAGAAAATGATCCCCCATACCAGAACATTCCTCTTGGACTGATCTTTATCCGAGAGCCTCAGGAGTCATATGGTGTTTCTTGTGACTTTTATGCAGAGAAGTCTCACTGGAGTTACTCTGCAGCCCACCGTGTTTTAAGCCCAACCTAAATTCTGAAGTAAGGGAGACACAGACCAAGTCGCCACAGATTTTTGTGGACTACTCTGTGAGATTAATCCTTATAAATGTCAACATTTACACAAACATTCCATTTCCATCAATTACTGTAAATTTTACTTACTGAAAAGGAGGTTAATTGTATTTATTCTAACCCTCCAGCTAGGGATTGTGAAGCAGTGGGTCGTGTGAAACCATGATATAAATATGGTTTACCCTCCTGGTACATCAAACTTACTGATCTTGGAAGGAAAGCAAATGGATTGCTTTGTTAAGCATCAAATGTATTATTTTATTAAATATACAAACATATGTAATAGAGAATGCACTAATTTAAAATTTTGCGATAAAAGACATCAGCAATATTTCTGCCAGTGGAAGTCCTGTAGTTTAATTCCTTAGCCATCATCTCTCTCTCTCTCATCTCTCTGGGCACATATTTACTTCTTTTGTCTGTGTTAGTAGTTCTAAAACACGAAGTCTGAAGTCTTGTTCTGGGTGACGTGTGTGTGAACGGGTGGAGGGAAGTGACCATCCGTGTTGCGTCAGTCATTTTTTTTTCCTTCTGTGGTGATACTGAGATTTACCCACTTAGACTGGATTCAGGTTGAATCCTGATAATGAATACTGGCCAGGGTGGGATGTACATGGGCTCCTCATCATTCAGATGGTCACAGCTGTCCATCTGCCATTGGCACCTGTTCCACTGCAGCAGAACCCTGCGTGCCTAACCAGCACTGCAGGGAGTACCAGGTCCCCGTAGCCTGTCAAGGTCTTGGTCACCGGGATGTTACTGTGATGAGCTTAGTGGGGATGCTGCCATGTCAAGGACCTGTTTTCTTATTGTACCAAAGTCTCAATGGGCCAAGGGCGTGCTGTGTTGTTTGGAGCCCTCAGTATTCAAATTCATGTTCTCTCTCAACTGTGTTAAAAAGATACTAAAGAAATATTCTCCATGGGCTTCCAGTATCTTATGGGGTATTTAAAATAGTCATCTTTCAGTTTTCACTTTTGTTCCCTTCTCATTCTAGGTCTCAGATCATAGGGTCTGAGCTGGAAGGTGAATCTGAGGCGAATACTCTGAGTGTCATTAACTCCCACTCATATGACTGGGCACACAGGTCCCACATCCAGTTTTTCTGGTGAAATCTCCATTCTCTGAAATAGTTTATTTTCCAGTTGGTTCCTCAGGCTGCCATTCCCTTTGATCACAGATATGTGTGCTCCACGAGTCTTTGAGACACATTCAGATTATCTATGGTATTGGGTGCTTACAGTCAGAAAATTTTATTTAAACATTAAAGTTTGTTGTATCTTATGTTTTTTTTTGTCTACTTATAGTTGAGTTTAGAGTGTGACCCATCTAAGGTAGGAATATAGAGTGGAAAACGGAATAATCTTGAAGACAGCTTCTTTTCCTGCCATTTTTAAGTCTCAGCTCTATCGTTGATAAGGGAGGGGAAGGTGTCTTTGAAGGGAGAAAGGTTGGGAACAGACAGAGGAAATTTTCTCCAAGGTAATGGAAAGGAAAGTGGTTTCTGAGATACAAGAGGATTTAGGATTCAAAAACATTTCCCTGTAACACAAAAGCTTTGTTTGGATGCCAGCAATATGGCTAAACTAACTGTAGGCTTTGGAACTCCTAGTAATAGAAGCACCTCCTATCCTCGGTGACATGACTACTTCTGGATTTCAAGAACTAAGCAGGTGTGGGTGGTGGGCTTCCAGGGGTCACTAGGGCAGACCAAGGGCAGAATGATTCAAATGTCTGTCTCCACTTAGGATCTTTGGATGATTGAATAACTATGAGGGGTGGGGGGAAAGTCCCCAAAACAACCAGAACTGAATTTCCCACTGATCTGGATAATGGGAACTTGGAGAAGAATTTAATTTTATTTAAAGGGAAACACAGATCTGAAGTAAGACTCGAAACTGCAAGAACAAATTAAATAACTTCAGAAACACTATGATAATTCAAGAGAATCTTTGACCTCATGCAACTTATATTTGATGGTTTACATCACCTGTCTTTCTTATAAGACAGTAGTGCCAAAATGAGTATAGAGCATAAGATATAACATTTCAAAGCAGAGCGTATGTTTAAGCATAATATGGACAAGGTCTTAGAGAAAATAAAGAACTTCTCTTCAGCCATAACCAGTGAACAGGTAGCAGAGAAGAAAGTGGAGCATTTTCAAGTAGTGCAACAGTATGAACAAGAGTGTAGGCAGGAAAGAGAATCACATTTCAGACAGCGTGAGGCCATCAGCCTGACGGATAGACAGGAAGGAGGAGTGGGGAGCAGAGCCGTGATGGAATTGTTAGGACCTAATGCCAGGCCTTGGTGTTTCATGCTATGGCCAAACTTAGCTTGGCCAGAGATTCTTCAGATCAGCGTTCAAGTTAATTAAATGAATGAGCTACCATTCAAAATTCCTCTTTATACTTTGCTTTATAGAAAAGGCTAGAATAAATAACAGATATCATTTTCTCAGGAAATACTGTGTGGTAGTCTTTGCACTTGGTGGTTTTCCTAACTTATGTCTAACCCTCATTATAAACAGGCACCGGGGCTATTAGTGTCTCCATTGTACAGGTGAGAAAACAAAGACTAAAAACGACTGGATGACTTGTTTCAAATCAAACAGAATTAAAGTGCTAAGCAAAGAGCTGGGAATCATGGCCAGATCTGTTCCTGGCCAAGGCCTGTACAGTTTATTTTAACTCCATCATGTTATCTCCAGCATTAAAATTTTTTAATAACATATTAACACTTCAATAGATAGATTTTTATATTATGGAAGAACATGAAACTAAAATAATTGAAACTAAATGCAGAGATTTCTTATTTTCCTTCAGCTAGGCTCAGGCTTGAGGAACTTTAAAAATAAGATGAAATTATACTTTCAGTTGATTTAGAGCAATGTCCTATAAGCATGTGGAAGATGCAGGAAATTTGAATTAATTAACAAAGCCAAATAAAATCTAAAGAGAGTAAAATTTCAGTTCAGAGCCACAGATCTTTTTTATATAATTTAATATCATTAGGACAAAGGGCCAGAATCAGCTACCCTATAATGCAGATAACAGGAAATGCAGAAAGTGGTTGTAGTTTGGCCAAGTGGTGCCCCCAGAAAAGATACATGCACCCAGCACCTGTGAGTATGCCCCACTGGACATGTGACCTCACTGGGAAATGTGTCTCTGAGGATGTAATGAAAACAAGAGCAGCCGGAACTAGGCTTGGCCTGTCTGATGACAAGCATCCTTTGACGAGAAGAGAAGAGAAAGCAGGATGCTGAGGAGAAGCCATGTGGAGGGGACAGAGACTGGAGTGAGGCTGCCTTAGGCCAGGGACCGCGGGGCGCCCAGCAGCTGGGCAGCCATGTCGCGTTTCTCCCCCGAGGCTCCAGAAGGAATCAGCCCCGCCCACGCCTGGAGTGGGGCTTTCTGGCCTGTGGAGCCGGGAGACAGTAAGTTTCTGCTGCTGAAATTTGTTAGAGCAGCTCCAGAGACTCACACTGGCAATACGCAGTTTAGACCATGGCACAGTAGAGGTCAGACATGCATCTCTCACATAAAATGATTCTAGGCTTTCACCAAACTAAATCATTTCTCCAAGAGAAAACAGACAAACAAAACTAAATGAATTAAACAACATTGAGTGGCATACTGGGATGGGCCCCGACTGCTTCTAGAAAGGGGTCTTATCTGAATTTTCTCTTAAGAAGGAGTGGACATGATGAGGGGAAGTGCCAGGTCCCTGGAATTCACTCTTCCTGTCATTAGAGTGTTTTGTCCATTGTATGTGAAGCTTTATTTGAAGACCAGGTCGCCACGTGCTCGAGAGGACAAATACATGTATTTATCCTTATCTAAACTCAAAATTTAGGCTCCTGTAACTTTTACTCTTCCTTAACTTCATATATACATTTATCTGAAGTGAGAGGGGTCTTCTTGCCCATGTGAAATGAGTATTTTATGGTTCACTTATAAATTACTTACAAATGCCCCACAAATAAGGCACTTATTATAAATTTAATTACTTATGTGATTTATTTTGTTTTTATGAAACTAGTACTTTAGAATTTTTTAAATCCTAGAAACACTTGATTATGTAACCACCATAAAATAGAATTAATATTCTCATAAATAATAGTACTTACATTTGGAAATAGAGAATTACCAAATTCTGGAGCTCCATCTTCAGCTCTGTATTTGCAGACCCTGAATCAGTCTTAGGGACACATTAGTATCTCAATTATTAGCCATTTATTGGAAGGTTCCCTCTCCCTTAATTTAAACATGATGCAGCCTTCTAAAATCCAAGCTCAGATAATATATTTTTGTATTCACAATGTAAAACAATTCTTATCTTCTCCATCTCTTCTCTAATTTTATGCTCAAAAGGCTTGGTTCAGTCAAAGGCCACTCCCTCAATGAAGCCTTGTGCTGTCGCCTGGTCAGAAATTGTTGTTCTCTAAACATGTCTTATTGTTTTGGTACTTTACAAAAATTTACCAGCAGCTGCCATGCATCACAGTGATTTATGGGCATTGAAAGTATTTCTGTAAAGGTGAAGGCTATCAGCAAAAATGCAATTTGCTTTCACTTCACAGGCCACCTCCAGTGACTGGCAGTGAATATCCGAGGTGCCACGTTTTAAGAAGAATCCAAAGGCCATATTCCCGATCATCAAGGAAAAAAATGCCCTGATCAAATAGCAGTGTTCACCCAACCTGAGGGCTTTGCCCTCTCTGCCCTTCAAGGTAGGACACATTGCAATGGCCTGTCTATCTCCAGAACAGCATGGGGTGTGTGTTTACATCCCATATGCCTCTTTAATTAGCTCCAACATAAAAATACCGAAGTCCACAGAAATGTCACAAAACCAGCCCCATGCACCTGGTCTCTTGCTCGTGGAGCTCCAGACTTGCCTCTTTTCAGTCGGCTGCAGACGTGTGCCTGTTTGGGGCACATACATCCTCGGTTTGTGTATATTCTGGTTCCTTTCTGGTGTACTCCTTTGGGTTAATAACTGGGTTCAGATTTTTATCATGCAAAAAACTTCCAAATGGATTTTTCCTTATTTCTCAAGTTGTGGTCACAAGCACGGGGGTCACCAGCTCTCTCATTGCACACCTTGGAGTCATCGGTGACCTCGTCATCCTGCAGGTCACTGGCTGAGGCTGCAGCCCATTGCCCATCACCCCCAGGGAGGAGGGGGTCTTATGCATAAACAGTGCTTGGTGGGTTTTTAAAATACATGTGTATATGATAGGGACCCACACATGCAAAGCCTCCCTGTTTTTTGTGAAAAAGCTAATAGTTTATACTTGAGTTTCTATATAAAATTAATGACAGTATTGGATCATCAGCCTGCCTTTATGTTGTAAGTAAAATATTTGGTACTGAGGAAAGTTGAGCTGACCCTGAAATCTGTCATTTTCAAAACACTTAGGTATGTACTGTTTCAAGCACAATCTGACCTTCACCAAGGTCAAAGGCTCTCATGTCTTTTTTTTCCTGCTTTCCTATTTCCTTTTGATGATGGCAATTTTTTTTGTAGCCATGCTTTTTGAATAAAATATTATAAGTAAGTCAAAGGCAAAAAAAGATATTTGTGTGGATTCAAGCTCTTTGCTATTAAGAAAAGGAGAATAAAGTGTCTATTTTTAATTTTTTTTAACCTTTCCATGGTTGTTCCTAAATGATATTAAAGCTGTATTGTGTTTGCAACCACTACAACTTGTTGAGTGGGGAAGAAATGACCCCTTCATGAGGTTTGGGGTATTTTTCAGGGTACCACATGCCCTGGGATGTAGCTTTACCAACATGTTGGTCTGTCAGAGGCTGTGATTGTCAGGACAGGAAAAGGCACACATATGTATGTATACACACACACACATACATATGGATACACGAATATGAACACATGCACACACACACAAGTGCACAGATTTATGTGTATGCACACACGCACTTATATGCACACGTGCACATGTGTGCACACATGTATGTGTGCATGTGTATATCCACACACATGTACAAATGGGCATGTACACATACATATGTGTTGTATAAAGGTTAGAAAGGCAAGGAAAAACAGATAGGTGTTACCGTGGCAACGGGGTAAGGAAATCATGATAGAAAGCGTCAGCTTAAGCAGGCAGGTGTGGGGCACAAAATCACTCTGGCATGAGAAAGATTGAACATCCAGGGTGCTCAGCTTGGGCAAGGGAGGAAGAGCTCTCCCAGTCCTACGAGATTATTTAGACAAGAATTCCAGAAGGCAGCGGGAGGGTTGAAGGTCAGGTCAAGGGGCAGTGGTGGATCACTGTGACAGATTCGGACACACAGCTGTGAGCCATGGCCTGCTTGTGTGTGAACCACGGCCCTGGCAGGGTGGGGGAGAGGCGTGTTTGCACTGCAGGAAGGCTCAGGGCCCTCACCGGGTTTGGGTCTGCTCCAAGCTGCAGCCCCAGCAGGGGGACCTGCACTCCAGGGATGGGCCACGCCCAGGGGCCCCTGTGGTGCCAGGGCCCCCAGCCCGGATGGCCACACAAAGCACAGGTCACGGGTCTCACCCTGATGTGATACATTGACTCTGCTCCTGAGTAGCTGTTAAACTGGACAATATCATTGGCCCGACTGAGTGAGTTTCCTAAAATATGAACTGTGGCTAATGCTTCAGATTTAGTATGAGCATTAACATAACATATATAAGGCACTTAACAGATTGTGTGGCATATAATAAACAATCACCTAAATGAGAACAAAACCACCAAATATCCGAATATTATTAGTATGCTTAAATATTCCTAAATAAATAATTACTAAACATTTTTACCATGCCAGTTGGGAAGTCTGAGGACACAGATTTTAGTAACTCTCACAGTTATCAGCCCAATGGCCACTATGCAACAATGAGCAAATCCCCCAAAACAAGGTCTGCTGTTTCATGTCAAGATGGATGACAAAAAGCCTCAGCAACTTCTACGTTCTTCTTGATTTAGATATTCGGGCACACTAAGCAATCACTCACTAATGGTGTTCTTATGAAAATAATGTATGTGTTTGGATGATATATACAGGTAAGGGCTCTCCCAGGTCCACACAGTGAAATGGGTGAAGGGAATCTTCCCAGCGTCTTGGAACGGCTTTCCCAGGAGCCCCCTAAGACTAACCACTGGAGCGTCTCAAAGCCGGGTGTTCTGAACTCGTGTCCCCCCATCTCTCCCCTCATGTAGTGCCACTCCCTGCCCCTCCAAGAGCATGCCAGCGATGGAAAGGAAACCCAGGTCTGCAGGCGGAGAGTGGTGAGCGTGAGCCCTGTCTCCCAAGCCTTCCCAACGTGGCTCTCTGGAGATATCCACCCAGGGCACAGTGCCTGCCTGTCGGTCAGGTGCCACGCGCCCCGGGGGCTGTGGTTTTCTGTGGAGCAGCGGCGAGGAAGCAGGTACTGTAAGCCTTTGGATTCTCTATTTATGGACAGAGGAAAATAAGACCATATAAAAAGTGCCAGGCTAGTCAGAAACCAGTGAGGTGAGAGCGGGAGTCACACGTTGCTCTGATCAGGGGAAGGTCAGGACCAAATCCCCTCCCTCACCCTCGCTCTGGGAGGTCCAGAGTGCAGCTTGCAGAGGAATGATGGATTGGGGCTGCCTGAGCTGGCTGGGGGCTGTGGATCTCATTTATTTTATTTTACAAGTCATTTGGCACAATGGTAATAACGACAATGAAATTGGATTCTTGCTACTTAAAAAGGTCTTGTACTTTGTGCATAAATACCTTAGTTCCTGCATTCAGTTGTCAGGGGAAGTCCCCATTATCTGGTTACCACCTCAGGTTACAGTGATTTGAGTGTCACAAGCAGGCCCATACATAAGCAGCTTCGGGATTTGCCTCTCCAGGGCTTCTTAAAAGTGGGAAAATGATCTCGCTCTTTATATCTTACCTGCAGATATCTTACCTACATGTAAAGAAGGGGGGCTCCTCCTATTGAAGAACTATTTCTTTCTTTACAAACTCCACGTCTTTACGTATGCTTTAAAAAGCAAGTATTCTGTGTTACAAGCCCTTCACTCATGGATGTGAACTGAATCATCTCCAGGACAATTAGCAAACATGTAACATGAAGTGATGATGGCAAAGAGATGCATGTGTCTGATCATTTTCTGTGCTGGACCCCATACCCAGTGTGTTCTCATATACGTGTGCTCCATCAACGACATAGGATAAAAATGACTACCAAGTTGTATACGGGTGTGGCTCCAGGGGAAAGGGCGTTCCCGGCCCGGGATGAATCCCCTAGTCAGCCTGTGAAACTGAAGTAAGTCAGGGGAGAGGGAAGGTTGGTAGAAACCAATCTTTATTGCTCACAGCTTGCTTGAAACCAATAGCCAGGCCTGCCCCCATCCGTCTCGTCTGGCTGCCACTCTAGCTCTGCCACCTCAATACGCTCTCTACTCCCCACCTGCCCCTTCCAGAAGGAACTCCATTGGTAGGTCCTTGGTGACTGGCAGACACCAGACCAATTATGTGCCAGGAATGGAGGGGAGGAGACAATGGCTGCTTCTCTCCACCCCTCGCTCCAGATTGACAGGGAGCTCTGCAGTGCTAAACACATTTGATATGTAAATGAACTAAGGCTAGGTGGGAAATTCTGGAAATTCTGAAATTTGCCCCAAAACGGGAAAAACAGATTTCAAAGCTCCAAACTCCAGGCACTGTGGGCTGAGGAATCTTGGTGGCAGACAAAGAAAGAAGAGTTAGAGAGACCAGGGCAACCGAGGCACTGACAGAGATTGCAGGTGAGGAGCGAAGGCACCTGGCGGGATGAGAATGGGGCTCCGGACGGGAAATTGGAGGCTTAAGATGGGAACGTAGGGGAAACATCCAAGGCAGAAATTCACATTTCCACCTTGGAGTGGTCCTGATAGATGAATGTATGAATTCATGCAAACTGAAGCTTGTCTTGAACAACCTGCTCCACTCTATCAACTCTCCCCACCACGTGTCTCTCTCAGCCCTGATCCCATCGGGACATAGGTGACTGCATTATTTTCAGACACATCCTTTCTAAGTTCCCTAATGAATATGCTGAGCACAGTTTCTCCTCTTGAAGAAAATGCACTTTCCAAAGCTCATTAAATCCCCATGTCTCAAGCATAATCAACTCCATCCTCATGTACACCTTAGGATGAGGCCATACGTTACAGAAACACCCCCTCTTGCATTATTCCTCTTGACTGCTGTGAAATTTGATAAAGACATATTTTCTTGAAATAAAAGGTATTTCCAGAAATGAGTTGGCTCAATTCAGATCAGATCTGGGACTTCCAACGTGTCGTCTAATTTATTTAACGATAAATAAACTCCTTTAAAAAGTGTTTAAATACAACTATTAATCTGGCCACCCACATACACACACAAAAAATGTAATTTAAGATACTCCCATTTGCCATTGATGACTTTGGTGAGTTAATATTCTCAAAGCCGGCTGTTGTCAATACTTGTGGCCAGGGAAACGTACTGGCCTCGAAGGACTTGAAGTGTGTAGCAGTAGATGATTAAATGGGGCTTCCAGCTTTCTTCTCAGAGCTCCATACTCTATCTTCAAAAAGTGACAGTTCAGAAACTTGATACCTTTTAGCCCCCAGGTGCCTTGAAATCACAAGAGGCCACAGCCCTGAAAAGCTGAGGCTTCAAAGGGATATTGTGGAATAATGTTTACAGCTGTAAGTGTTCATAGCTGCTATAAACAATCTACATACCTACAGAATTCAGAAATGTTTTTCTTTCCAGATTGAACTCCACTTCATGTGTTCATTGTTCTCTGTATTTCTTACCCTATTGTTGACAGATCTGTCATCCTATGTCTTTCAATTGAAATGATATGCCTTGCCTTATCACCAGCAAGGGTATAAAAAAAAACAAGGGTAGACATTGTATAGCAAAGGCCACACTTTCAGGGATTCACCACTTCAGCATAGTTCACTGAGCGTGTACCATGTGCCACTCCTTGTTCTAGGTGTTGGTGACAAAGATGGACAAGGTCCTAGCATCAAAGGGCTTTACATGCTATTGTAGGAAGAGAGATAATTTTAGGGCAGGATAATGTTAAAAATAAATAAGTCAGGGTGCTGGGTTAGAGCAAGTTGAGTGAAGTGGCCAACAGCAGCATGCCTCTGAAGACGAATCGCCATCAACCAGAGCTCAGACGATGGATAGAAGGGAACTGAGATCTCGGTGATGACGCTCCAGGCCCACGGGAGAGCAAGGGCGGAGAAGAACGGCCATCCTCAAGCCCATCATGGCTGGAGAGGGCTGACTGAGGAGGAAAGTGGCGGGGAACGACTTGGAGAGGAGAGAGAGGGTGGGAAGGCAGGACCAGTCACAGCCTTGGGCCTGGGGCTTCTCCCAGAGGTCTGACTCGGATTTTCAAAAGATGACTCCGGCTGCTCTTCGGGTGTGGCCGGGCTAAGCCACCTGGGCTGTGGGAACAGGAACCAGAGGCTGGGGGCTGATAAACAGGAGGAGTTCATTTCTCATGGTTCTGAAGACTGGGAGGACCAAGCTAAGCAGCCGGTGGAGGCCACGTCTAATGAGAACTGGCTCCTGGCTGGTAGACAGCTGCCTTCTCGCTGTGTCCTCGTGGCTGAAGACAGCAGGGAACTCTCGGGGGCTCCTCAGGGCATGAGGCCCATTCGTGAGCGCTCTGCCCACCCTTCCAAAGGACCTACCTCCTAATACCATCACAATGGGGTTAAGATTTCTGTCGAGGTGACAGGGCAGGGACAAGACATCCTCCCCTGGTCCATTTCACAGGAGCTTTGGGTGTGATTTCCAGACCAGACCTAACTCGTGGCTCACAGTTTTTTGTTTATATCTCTTACTTTATGAGGCAGGGTGGTAATGTAGAAATGACACAATTCTCTGAGCCAGATCTGGAGTCAGCTCCCCACCACTTGTCTGCTGCGCGATATTTGGGGAGTCTGTGAATTTATCTGGACCCCGGTCCCTCCTCTTGAGAAGGAGCGCACGGTGTGCAGGATCAAGAGAGACAGTGCCCTTGACCGTGCTTCATAAGTTTTCAAGTATTTGAATGCTCGGCATTTGATAGGTGCGGGTCTGGGTTGGGCTCAGTGATTCACAGGACAGAGGTGAAGGCGTTTTAAAGTGCATTGTCACACACAGAATTCGGCCTTTAGGGCTGAGCTCTCACACTGTCCTGGAATATCTCCCGCACCTCACACCCTAACGTCAAGGCAAAAATGGAGACTGGAAAGGAAAGGAGATAAGAGGCTCATTAGAGTAAAACATTGGAAAGGATATTTGAAGGTTCATGTTGTCCAACGGGAGGCAGAATTTCTCTGGGAAAGGCCAGAGAGTAAATAAATATGCTGTTACACGGCCTTTATCAAACCACTCATTTCTGCTGTTGTAGCTTGAATGCAGTAATAGATTTTTATTTAAAAAAAACCCAAAAAAACATGAATATGGTGTGTTCCAATGTTTATTTGTGGATACTGAAATTTGAATTGCATATAAGTTTCACAAGTCAAAAATACTCTCCTTTTAATTTTTTCTGATCTTTTAAAGTGTAAGAATTATTCTTAGCTTGCAGTCCGTACAAAAATAGGTGGTGGGCTGGATTTGGCCCAAGAGCCGTAGTTTGGGCCACCTCCCCATATAGCCCATTCCTCCCTCTCCTCGGTTAACCGCGAGGTGACCCAGACAAACTAGCTGCTGATTTATATGTTAGAGTCACTTGAGAAGATAATTAGAACTCTGTGTGAAAGACCGTCATTCAAAAAAACAAGTAATGAAAAACAAAACCCTACTTATGCGGAGAATTTTTAAAAAGACTTTAATTAAATAAGGAAGATGACTTACAAATGAAGACCCAGGCTGGACCTTCACTGATAAGAGCATCCTGTTAGATTAAGAAGTTTGCTAATTGACACATGTAAGTTTATAAAAGATAAATAGAGCTTCATTTGTAGAACAGATAGGCTGTGTTGTTATGCACAGACGGACTACATTCACAGTTGCTGAGAATCCTGTCAGATTAAATCGACCTGCAAGTACATGATTGTGCCATTTTGTTCTCACTGGTACAGTGCGTGCCACTGTAGTCATTATCTCAGAGCTCTTTCACTCTGCGGAGCATCATGTTTAATTATGTTATTTCATGAGATCCCATTCGTAGACCTTGTCCTCTTTCAGACTTGGCTTTGCTCAGGAAAAGTAGGTCATTATTCTCAGGACTGTCCCCAGTAGTACGAACATTAGGCCTCTCAGCAATGTCCTTTTAAATAGAGCATCTTGTGGGACCAAAGCTCCACGTTCTTGCTTCAAATTCTTTAGCTGTTGACAGATGAGCTCAATTCCCAACTCCTACGGGCCTTCACTGTCCTCATGAGACCTAGAGAAGATGACAGGTTTGCGGTCTGC